TACTAGTAGTAGTTTTAGTAATTATTTTGATATTTTTTTGTATTGCAGATGGTAAGAAAGCATGATACTATGAACTAAAGCTAAACCCACGCGCACGCGATCAGTCGTGTGACGTCACTTGGCGACAAATACTGGTTTACTGGGTAAACCATCTTTCCGAAGGAGGTTTACTTAAACCATATCCAGATTTTCTAATTAAATGTAATGAACTGGACCATATTTTTAACAATTTTAACAAAGGGCCATTAAAATTAATCAAGAATTTTAAAATTAGGAGATTGAATAGATATATTAAAATAAACATCCAAAGTTAAGAAGAAAATAGTAAAAATTGTAAAATAAATTGTTAAATAAACTTGTAAATTATTACACTATACTTTATTTTATCAGTTGTATTAAATTGTTATTTTAATAAATCAATCCATTGTATATAAATTTTCATTTCCAAAAGGTTGTTTAGTTTCTACTTTTTTATATAATTTTATTATCTATTTAAATTGTAATAATTTACATTGCTAGGCTAACAGAAATGTATATATAACATATTTTTAAGTTTTACTTGCAGATATTTTACCTAACATCCCAAAATATTCTAAATATTTAAATAAAAACCCTCTCTTTCCATATATGTTTTACCGACTGTGATGATAAAAGCAAAGAATATAGACGCTTATTATAGCGTCTATATTCTTTGATAAAAGTTTGGTGATAAAAGTGGAACTTTTATCACCAAGTGACGTCATGCGCGTCGACGTACAAAATTCGATTGCGAAGTGGGTTTATCTTAGAAGTCTTAGTATCATGGTAAGAAAGTATCAAAATATAACAGATCGAGCAAATATAAGTAAGCAGCGCATAAAAGATGCTCTACAAAATATCTTTTCAAGAAATATGTCCCAAAAAGAGGTAGCAAGAACGTTTAATTTAAAAAGACAAACTTTGCAATCTCGCATCAGAAAAATATTAAGATCAATGACGGTTGAAGAGTTTTTACAAAAGTGTGACGATGATGGATCTTCTTCTTCTTAGGGTGCCTGTTCGTTCCGAACGTTGGCGATCATTCTGGCTATGATGATTTTGTTGGTTGCTATACGAAATAGCTGTGTTGAGGTCTTTCTATACCATGCTCTCAGGTTAGCAAGCCAGAATATTCTTCTTCGTCCTGGGGCTCTTTTTCCTTCAATTTTACCCCGCAAAATGCATTGGAGTAGCTCGTATCTGCCTTGATTTCTCATAATATGTCTCAAGTACTCCACCTTACGGCTCTTCACAATATTGACCAAATCCGCGGTTGTGTTCATCCTCCGCAGTACTTCTTCATTGGTGACTTTGTCTGTCCATGGTATCTTCAGGATTCTTCTGTATAACCATAATTCAAACGCCTTTTGATAGAGTTTCCGCCTTCAATGTCCACGTTTCTACTCCATACAGAAGCACTGAGTATACGTAACATTTAAGGAGCCTTACTTTTGTTTTCAGGGTGAGGTCATGGCTTTTGAACACAGAGCTCATAGCCAAAAATGCACTTTTGGCCTTTCCGATGCGAAATTTAATCTCTTGGGTATTGTCCCACGACTCATTGATTATAGTTCCCAAGTAATTGTATTGTGAGACACGTTCAATTCTCATTTGGTTCATATACAGATTTGCTCCAGTTATGTTTTGCTTGCTGATGATCATTAGCGTGGTTTTGCTGGTATTTATATCCAGTCCATAGGTTCTACTTGTTTCTGTTATTTTGTTCATTAAGTTTTGCAGCCCTTCTATGGTATTGGAAAACACTATTGTATCATCTGCATACCGCAGGTTATTAAGCTTGACTCCATTTATTGAGATGCCTTCATCAATATCTTTTAGGGCCTCTTCAAAAATGTACTCCGAGTATAGATTGAATATCAGTGGTGAAATTATGCACCCCTGTCTCACTCCTTTTAAGATTTTGACCTGTTCTGTATATTCTCCATCTATTCGGAGTACCGCTGATTGATTCCAATACAGATTAGCTATAATTTTTAAGTCTCTTTCATCAATCCCTGTCCTCTTCAGCACTTCCATCATTTGTTCATGCCTGTCTCTATCGAAAGCCTTCTTGTAGTCACGATGATGGATACGAGAGCGAAAATGCAATAGTAGGTTAGTTTATTGTTCTTGTGTTTTAAATATTTTTTGATGTACTTGTTTATGAATAAATATATGTTTTTTAGGCAAGTACGCTTCAGAAGAAGTGTATTTTCTTCCTCACAAGATGACATGCTAATGGATTACATAAAGCAAGGTTCTAATATGAATTATGGCTTAACCTACGAACAAATAAGATCAATGGTTTTTGACTGCGCGAAGGTTTTTCCAAAATTGCAAATATCCAGGGAGCTGGGATATAAATAAAAAAGTAGGAAGAGATTGGAAGAAAGGCACTCTGATTTATCATTAAAAAAACCGGAAAGCACGAATTTGGCAAGAGGTTTCGGATTTAATAAAACAAGAGTGGAAGAATTTTTCCTAAATTACAAGACAGTGTTACAAAAATATAATTTTAGCCCTGATCGAATCTTTAACTTGAACGAAACAAAGTAACTAAAAGTCCTACCCCCTCCCAAAATTGTAGCACCAAAGCGTAAGAAGCAAATAAGTCTAGTATCGTCGGCCGAAAGAGGTGAACTTGTAACAGTTGTCGGGGTTATAAGTGCCATAGGAAACGCATTACCACCGATTTACATATTTCCCAGGGTAAGAAATATCGAAGACTATTTATATGAGGCACCGTCTTTAAGTGTATCATTTGGAAATAAGTCTGGGTGGATGACTAAAGACATTTTCTCTTAAAAATATTACAAGCTCGTTTAAAAAACCAGGAATATGGCCCCTTAATTCACAAGCATTTAGTGACGCAGATTTTGATGCCACTAAGATATATAAGAATGAATCAAGACGTAAGAATATCTCAAATCAAGATGCAGATTTTGAAATAAATAATCAGCCATCTATTTCAAAAAGTGTCGGCGTAGTCCTTGATGACTCTGTACAAGAATATAATGAAAAGTCTGGGATCGAGGGAGACGAAACAGTTCCGAGCAAAATTCTAAGTCCTGAATATGTTAGACCTTTTCCAATAGTTGAAAAACGTCAAGATAAAAAAAATTAAGGCAAACCAAGGAAAATCTAGAATTTTTACAGAAACCCCTGAAAAACAGTGATTGGAAGACATAGAAAATGAAAAAAAATATATAAAAGAAAAAGTGAAATCAGAAAAATTGACAGTAATCTAAGAAAGAAAAAAATATTCTTAACCAACAATAATATTAATATAAATTAATATTCTTTTGCTTGTTCATCCCCCCAACAGGGATGAACAAGCAAGAAAAGCAAAAATACAAAAAATTAAAAAAAAAAGTTGTTGATTACTGCTCTAGCAGTGAATCGAAGTATTTTTTGTGACGACTCGGATAACAATGAAAGTCTTGCATCTTTTGAATCCGGCGAGGAACTCATAAAAGTCACTTTTATATTAGTAAAATTTGAACTGAAAACAACAGTGGTTTATTATGTTGAAAATGTAGTTGAAAAAATATCTGATTCTGAATATTTTGTCAAATATTTGCGGCGCAGGGGAAATTGTAATAAATTTTATTTTCCTCAAATAGAGAATACAGAAACCTGCGAAAAATCAAGTATTCATGCCAGACTTACCAAATTCTCTAAGTCTCGAAGAGATTCGACGGTGGCATTTCACTACAACTTTGAAGGAATTACGGTTAAGTAAATATCTTTGTTAGTTATTAGTTAATAATGTTTTTTAGTTCATTAGTTCTTTTTTGATGTGCTAATTTTCTTACTTTTCCATATTTTGTACTTTTAAAACAATGTTTGATAACGTTTCTTTTAATAAACTGTTTAACTTGTAACAATGCCGTTTCTATTTACCTTACAACATTGCGACCCAAAGTGCCCCTTGGCCTGAGAAGGCCTGTGCCCACTGGGGGCACAATCAGCCAGAGTGTAATATATATTTTATTTATTTATTAACAAAAAACTAAAGTATATTCAACAAAATTGTTTTACTTTTTAAATGGACAAAAGTATAAATTTTACTTTTTTGTTTTCAAATTAAATATAATGAAACATTTTTTTGTAGTTTTTTACCTAAAAACTATTAAATGTGCCCGGCTCTCCCCTAACTACTAATACCTTGAAAACCATTGTAACTACCTATAAGATCTTATTAATTTAACACAATTTAACAAGTATTTTGAATCAATTATGATATATTTTATGGTATATTAAAGTGTATTGGTCTTTTTCTGTATACCTAACCATATTATGTGATTTATTTTATGTCAAATGATGTTTGGACCAGATTATAGTTAGAAAACAAATCACAAAGGGATATCGAGAATAAACTCGGTGCTCGACAGGGTTGTATCCTTATATTCTAAAAATAGATAAACTTAAAGAATTTTACAATAGGTATCCACTAATATGAATATTTCTAAACAAGTTAATGACCTTGCCGTTCGCCTAATATAGGCAACTAGTCTTACCATATTTTACGATATTTAAAGTTTATTATAAAGCAATTTAATTTAAATAGAATTTAAATAAATCATTTAATTCTAACTGGTTTAAAAAAGAAAAGCTATAAATTAAAAATATATCAAGTTTAATATTTTTAGAACGCTCTCTTTCATTATGAAGCTAAACTGTTTTCATGTCATTGGCATATGTCAGTTTTAGAAGCAAGTATGGATTTTATCATTTTTAGTCCATTCAGTTTAAAACAAATTATAAAAAAAGTAGAAAATAACCAGAAGTCAGTAAATATAAAATTTTACCTAATTATTGCTTAAAGTCGTATAAAAAACTAATATAGTGTTTGTCAGAGATAGGTACATCGTAAACAGAAATCTGAATTTGTATTGACGTGATAACTTGCCGTGTAGATGGCAGCAGCAAAATGACAGTTAATACAGTGTAGCAACAAACCTTTCCGGAAATAACATATGTTTGAGTCAATGCGGTCCCAAACTTTCAAGTCAAGAACAAGACCGGCCATTTTACAATACCTTGTTGTGGGATTATTCACCTTTCAAAATTAAAATTGTAATTAATGTCAGAACCACAGTCAGCTCTCCTATTAAGAAAACAGCTAGCAGGTCAGTGAAAGTGATGTTTTTTATTTGCCTTGAAGAAATCTCGCAAAGCTTCAAAAATAAACTCGGGTTTCTATAATGAAAATGTTCTTGCAGTACAACCTGGATTTTTTGTATCCCGTTTGGTGCGGCCTTTCCAAAAATAGTAGCAACATACTATTTCGGTTGTAGAAGGTTATACTTTATGGGAATTTTAGAATATTTTTAGGGCTCTACCAAAATCAATAAGCGTGCGTATTATTCCTTATCATGCCCGTCAGTTTGAAGGTAAATTATTTACGATAATCTGCTGTAAATATCCTGTTTTAAAGGTATTTTTAGGCATTAATAATAAACTTGATTTTCCGTTGGAAACAAACTATCAAGTTAATTAGATTAGGCACCAAAATCCATACAATGAAAAGAAAAAAAACATGATGTCAACATTTTCAATTGCAAATTGCAAAACTTGAGTGAAAAGATGTTGTTGAAATCGTGTCTATTTGCATATTCAGTTTAGTATTAGGAAACGAGAATATTTTTATGAGAAATTTCGAATTTACTCACAAGGTTGAACAAAATTTCTTTGTTACATTTATGAGTAAATTAGTCAATGTCTAAGTATTCAGTGGGCGGACATTTAAAACAGTTATTTTGGACAAATAAAGCAAAAAACAATTCTTTCTTTGTTGTAAATCAACATTTCTTTCGTATTGTTTTGAAATCAGGACTATTTCATTATAGAATTGCCGTCTTTATGATTAAAACAAAATAAATGAAAAATTTATACATACAACTACTTCTAAAAGACTTTACTTAACCTAAAACTTGTGTTTTTCTGAAATATTTTAACTTTTTGAAATCCTATGGTCTATTATAATTACAATTTCAGATATACTTACATTTTTTAGACTGTTACTAAACTCTGATATTGTTTCAAAATCCAAGTTGTACTCACATAAACAAACTAACTGAAGTTACTTTGTTTTTAATACTGTTAGAGTATGTTTGTGCCTGTGACACAAAAATAAATGAGAAAATGAAGATTTTAGAAGACTTGAATTGAATTAAAATGTCATCAAAATAAAAAATATACAATTTGATGGAAGTTTTGGTCAATTTTTTTTGTTTTATGGATAAGTGAGTGTTTAAAAATGTTTTAGTTTGACAACATCATTTTTGTGTTTTCATAAGTTTTTAACTTTGTACTGGAAGAGTGGTGAGGAAAAGGGGAAACTATATAGAACAAAGTAACAATGTGGAATATGATTGCTGATTACTAAATAACAAGTAGAACTAATGTTTTTTGTTATAATACAATTATTAGAAATCAAAATACAATAGTGTCATAAGCTAATTTGTAGCTTAGTGTGGGTTTAAGTAGTTAAGTCTGAATCTAATTTGTCAGTGCTATTTTCAAGGGTTATGTGATTTAAGTTTTCTTGTAATATTCCTGTGTGAGGTATGTATTGTTTTCTATTCTGAGCTGTTCAAATAGGTGAAGATAACTCCTGAAATATACAGCCCCTGTTTTAATATGTTAAGTCCCAAAGTATTGAAGCACTCCTTTAGTCCCAGACCATACTGTGACCATGTTTAAACACAATAATACTGTGGGCATAATTGATATGCATGGTGTGTAGTAAAAAAATGCTGTTCACCAGCCTTGTGCACATGCAGCTAAATGTGTTAAATATGTTGTACACAATAATTTGGAATTCCTGTCTACTAAAAAATTGTTATATTCTTGTTGAGTTATATGTGTAAACGAGAAATCTGCCTTGCTGAAGGCTTGCTGCAAAATTTGGGTAACTAATAACTTTTTTTTAATTTCTGCTATTCAAAATTTCTTGACAGTTCACAACATTGGATTTGCTTTAATGATTTTCGTTAGTTGTAACATGTTTTAATTAATATTAGATCAAAAATTTGTGAAAATAAAATGACGATTTCCGAGTTTAATAGTCAAATTTTATGTTTTCTGGTTATTAAACCAAATTTAGCGGAGACTGTTGTTTTTGATATCAAATAATATCTAAATATGATCATGGAATATTGTATTATAACAATTATTACACTGGTAAACACACAGTTTGCTGCTGGAAATTTTTTTACTGTTTCTAGGTAATTTGGGTATGCTGAATCCAAAAATGCCACCAGATTTGCTCCATCGAATTGTTTTCAGGAAATACAATAGATCACATTTCTAACATATAGGGTAATTTAATGCAGCAGTAGCTACATATATGTAGTGCTGCTACCAATTAAATAAACAAAACACTAATAAAAAGTAAGATATTTATTGTACAATAATGTACTTACAAAAATCATCACACCTTTCTGCCAAAAAAACTGAACTTTTCGTCTAACCTAACCAGCATCGCAGCACAAATCTGCTATTCAGTGTCACCTAAAAACTTCCTTTTATATGGTTTTCTTGCAAAGGCGTTAAAAGGATGGTCCCTTGGAAACTCCAGCAGTAATTGGCGATCATGTGAGTGTTCCATCTCCCCTGGTACGTCTCTTCCATCGTTTTCATATCTTGGTGGAAGGGTTCCCCTTGTTTCTCACTAAGGTCTTCAAGATTTTCTGGGAAACAGTCTAAGTGGCTGTGGAAGTAATGAATTTTAATACTCATATGACAACCATGTTTGTTAAAATTGTTGAGCATTTCTTCCACTATATCCCAGTAATTTTCCGATTTATTGTTTTCAAGAAAATTTTGCACAACTTTCACAAAAGAGCACCATGCATTACATTCAATTTCAGTCAATAATTCTGTAAAATGCGAATCAAGTTGTTGTATCTGAGGTCCATAAAATAGTCTGGCTTTCAATTTTTCTTTACTAAGTGCAGAGAATTTGCCGGACACGTATTCAAAACAAGGACGATTCTGGTCTAGGGCCTTTACAAATTGTTTCATAAGCCCTAGTTTAATATGTAATGGAGGTAATATTATTTTCTCTCAGTCAACTACATTAGCTTCTCCTTGAACCAAAGCATCTCTAAGATGCCATTTTCTTCTAGTCCAGTGTTGGTCCTTAGCCCTGCTATCCCAAAGACACAGGAAGGATATTTTGTATAGCCACCTTGTTGTCCCAGGAGAAAGTTCACCATCTTAAAATCAACTCAGATTGCCCACTGATGTTGGTCATACTTGATGTTATTTAGCACCACCGAAATTGTTTTATATTCTTCTTTCATTTTTGTAGAATGCCCAATTGGTATATTTCCATATTTGTTGCCATTATGTAAAAGGACACACTTTAAACTTCGTTTGGAACTGTCAATAAAAAGACGCCACTGATCTGGTGTATATTCTGATACACCCATTTTGTCTAACAATCCTTTAATATCATTACAAAAAACCATATCATTTTGCGGAGAAAAAAAAGGCAAAAGATCATTTTCTCTATTACGGTAGTATGTAATTTTGGTGTCTGGGTAAAGAAGATTCTTTTGCTTTAGTCGGGAGGCAAGCAACTCGGAAGAATCCTTTGGAAGGTTCAAATCTCTGATAAGATCACTTAGCTCTTCCTGAGTAAAGAGCTCAGGACTTGTTGACTCCTCTTCAAAATCACTGTTGTCTTCCTCAAATCCGTTAGTCTGTAGTTTGTCAGATAATGTTTCGACATTATCCTCTGGTAATGTAGGTAGACAGCTAAATATTGGAATGGGTATCTGTTCAAGCTGATGTGGAATTGGTCTTATTGCTGAATCCAGGTTAGGATATGTAAACATATGTCGATTGTTACAATTAATGCCCTTTATATTCACAAGACAGAAATAGCAATTGTCAAAATGATTTTTTGGTTCCCTCCATACCATTGGTACACCAAACTTTAAACATTTTCGTTGTCCTTTCGTCCACTGTTGCAAGTTTTCCAGACAAGTTTTGCATGCTACGTGTGGAGTCCAGGATTTTGATCTTGATCTCCTAAATCAACATCAAAATAGGCTTGATATGCCCTTTTTATAAAATCACAAACTGGTTGTCTACTTTCCTTTACAATGTACTTGCCACTTATGTAGCAAAAAACATTTGGGTTATTCACACAACAACGCCTGCTTGTAGAAGCCATGGTTTTCAGTTGTCAAAAACAAACTCTTGTAACGAAACTTAAGTTCAAACTAAATTTTACAATAGAATGCCGTTGACTTTATAGGAATTTATTAAGGCCGTTTCAGAGAAAATACTATTTACTTATCGGATAATAGTTAAAAAGCAGTTAGCGCTAATTTCAAGTTATGAGAATTTCCAAAAAGTACACTTTAATTAGAAGTCATTAGTATATATTTGTATTAGAATTTGTTAAGTTGGTTTATAAACATATTGCAGTTATAGTGGTGGAATATACAGTAATGTAAGAATATTTAAGTATTTGATGAGTATGTTATATCTCGAAAACTAGAGCTGATACAAAGAAAAGGTTTGTATTTTTGGAATCAGCACAGATGAATTAACCAAAATCAGTTAATTTTTTTCAGCAGCAAGACAATTTTTTTTTATTGGGCTGTGTTATCATTTAAGGGTGATAAAATTATGTGTGTGAATATACTTACAATATAGGTAAAATTAAAGGCAATTGTAAATTGACAAATGTTTTATTCTCTACAAGTTATATAAAAAATTCTTTACTATTGTCTAAGGCACAGTTCTCATTTGGAGTATTGCTCTCAGAAGTTTACTTACTACTTACTAATTTTGTTTACTTACTAAATAACTTATTCTTTCATCTTCCTTCCAGTTTTCCCCATAATGTTTTTTTAACAAATTATCAACATTCTTTAAATTTATAGATTCAGAGCCACTAAGAAAGGTTGGTTTACTGTTGGTTGGTTGTTTACTAACTCCTTTAGGTGTATAAAATTCTATAATGTAAGTTATTTCTTCTTGCACTAATATATTTCCTCGCTGAGATTTAGCAAATATGAAACATTTTGCTGAATTAAATCGAAAATGCTATGCATTAGGACATTTGGTACCAGTTTCTGTGACATTTTTCGAGTTGTACATAAGCACA